TGGTCCTCGACAAGTGCTGCCACAGGCAGTGATGTGGGTCCCTGCTGTGCCTCACTCAACAGGCAGGATGGCTTCACACTGCTTTCCTGGCTGCAGCAGAGGGTCCTGCGGCCATCCTCAATGACAGGGCCACACCAGGAAGGGCCTGTAGCTCTGGTCACACTGTGGATACAAGCAGGTTGCCAGTGACCAGGAGAAGCCACACTGGATGATTACTGTGCAGGGAAGAAACGTGTACTTCTGAAGTCCCTGAAGTGTGGGCCTGCTTGTCACAGACACTGACTGGGTGCTGCCCCCTCCACACTGAGCTAGACACAGCATGTCCTGTGCAATACTGGGCCTCCTTTCTGTGGAAAGGGGGGACCACCTGCTGACTGCCTCATCCTGGACAGGCACTGCGCAAAAATCAGAACGCCGTCCCCATTTTGAAGAACCTATACTCAAAATTGGAGGATGGAAAGGGGGACACGCATGTCAGTAACCAGCAAATCCCAGAGCCCCCCTTCCAGGATGGTGCCCCTCCACCCTCACTGCGCCACGGCCGCGTGCTGCTCTTTGCTGCCAGCTCCATGGCCAAGGCATGCAAAGGGATGAGTCTTGTAAGAGGAGCCACTGCTGCCTCTCAAGCGTGGGAAACAATGAAAAACTACGCTCACAGCCTTCCGCCGATGCTTCACACAATTCATCTTAAGCCTTGACATTTCAGGTCAAGAATCTACCCAGAACCATTCAAGAAGCCTTGTAACAGAATCAGACTGGTGGTGGCAGGCCAGAGAATGGAACAACACTCTGTCGCTGTCTGTCTCTGTCTGTCTTTCCCCGGTAGCTGCTGACAACACACAAACAGTGGTCTTCCGTGGGGATTTTCATATGAGAATTCCCATCTCATTTGCTGTTCAAGATTAGAGCGGAAACAGGTAGAACTGTGCAGTGTGAACCCAGAGGCACTACAAACATGCAGTGCAGGAAGTCAGAGTGAGGCTGGGGCGAGCGAGCGCTTCATATGTCAAAGCCTAACTCCCCAGCTACTGGTAAACTAGGCTTAGCCTGTGAGGTAAACAACCAGTAACCAGCACTACTGTTTCATTGGTGCCCTTAGTTCCCAACCCCTGGGGTCTGTCTCTGGGTAATGAGGGTGAGGTTGGTCCCATCACCAGGCAGAAAGAGTCCTGCACAGCCACTTCGCCGGGCTCCTCGCCGTTGGGTCATTCACCTAATTCATGCTCATAAGTGGGAGCTGACAGCTGTGTGTTTACTTTCCCATATAGAACCATGGCTACAGAACAGAGGAAGAACTTTCAAGGGTTCAGACAAGGCTGACTCTGTAGAAAGAACTCTTTGGATGGAAGCATTTAAAAACATTATGCACCACCTTTTGGGTTCTATGTATATTCAAGGTCTGAAAATTTTCAATGTCAAAGCCACAATAAGCTCTATGAAAGAAAAAAGTGGAAACTGGAGTTCATATAAAATTTAAAAACCTCCCCCTCTAATTAAAAGACACGATTAGAAAATGGAAAGGCAAATCACAGGCTGCAAAACATTTGCAACCCCCATAAACAGAAGAGCTCCCACACACCAATATTGAAAAGATAAATATTCCAATCAGAAATGGATAAAGAAACTTGAACAGAATCCTCTCGAAGGAATTGAAACATGTGGCACACAAGAAGAGATTTGTGACAAGGGTCTCAGCAAATGCAAACCATACAGACAATCACATATCACACTACACCCTTCAGAATGGCTGAGGTTAAAATGCTGATGCTACCAAGTGCTAAGCAGGAGGCGGAGCACCTGGAACGCTCAGATGCTGCCGTAACAGTGTGAACGCCATGACCACCGGGAGAACTCCTTTTTCTTTTTCTATCTTTTTTTTTTTTTGGGTGGTGCCAGGGATCAAACTCAGCAACTTGTGCTTGCCAGGCAAGCACTTATTCCACTGAGCTATCTCCCCAGCCCCATTAGTGCATACGTGTGTGCTTGCTTGCTTTTTGTGGCTGGCTCAGCCCACCCTGGGGCAGAGCTGGCCACAGCATGTGGTGCCAGGGATTGAACCGCAGTCCCTGTGCACTTAACTAAGCTTGCCTAAGCAGGCGCTTCAGACCACTGAACTATCACTCCCACTGTGCGATCCAGCAGGTTTCCACCTAAAGAAGTGAAACAAGTTCTCTGGGAAAAGACTTACATAAATCTCTGCTAGCCGCTTCATTCACAGTAGTTCAAATGAGAAACAATTCAACTGTCCACATCAGGAAAACGAATGCACAGACAGTGGCATTCAACACATGATGACTAGCCCTCAGCAATGGATGTGTAGCAGCTGCCACTGTGCCTAACAGCAGAGCAGAATATCATAGGCATTGAGGTGAAGGAAAGAAATCAGCACCCCCCCATACCAGTTGTGGGGTTCATTTGTAGGAAATCAAATAGGCAAAGTTGACTGGTGGTGGCAGAAAGGCGGATGGTACATGTATCTGAGGGGTAGGAGGGTTGTCTAGGGCAGCTTGGGTGAAATTCCTGGGGTGAGAGAGCACTGTGTGTATTCACTGCAGCTGGAGATTCAGGTGTATGTATTTTTCAAAGCATACTCAACTCTTCCCCATAATCTGTGCATTTCATTGTATGCAAGTCATATCTATACAAGAAATTAATAAAAAGTTGGTAGCGAGTCAGAGTGTCAGAAAGCCCAGGGGCAAACAGAGCACAGGCTGCTTAGGAACCCTCCTCCCTTGGAATCCGGATCAGATTCCACCTCCTGGGAGCTGTGTTATGCCGCAGCCCTCTGCTCATCTCAGGCTGCCAGGAGGCCTTCCTCCTCTGGCCCATGGCCTCCTATTGGAGAGCAGAGGTATTAGGTCCCAGTTTACCATCGGGACATCCCTAGGGCCATGGCGAGTCACCTAATAGCAAAATGCATCTGAGGCTGCACGTGGAATCCAGGCTGCTAGTCAGGGTGCCTGGAGCTGGGTGCTCTGGTTGGCCATCTAGTCACATGAGCCCTTGAGGTAGAAGAGGAGGAGGCAGGACAGAGGGTCTGAGAGGCAGTGTGGAAGTGGCCCAACCCACAGCTGCTGGCTCAGAGGTGAGGATGGGGCTTTGGTCAAGAATGCTGCAGCCTGTGGAAGGCGGGCAGGGCAGAAATAGACCCACTCCCAACCAGGGCATCTGAAGAACACAGCTCTGCCCGGTGGGCCCCATGCCAGATTTTCGACCTCTAGAATAGCAAGGGAATAAACCATGGTGTGTGGAGCCACTCTGCGGCAATTGGTTCCAGCTGTTAAGATTCTTAATTAAGGATTTTTCCTCAAAGCAACACTACTGTACTTATTTCCACAATAAGCTGCCATCCTTGGGAAGCTCCCTCCCAGGAGGGGCCAGGAAAAAACCACAAGCTTTCATCTGGGACATGGGGCAATGCTACAGGAGGTGGGGAATGCAAGTTGTTTCCAGCTGCCCTGCCTTTTCCTGCCCAGACCTCCCTGAAAGCCATTACTGGAGAGAACAGGAGGGTCTTGTGACCCTCTGTGGCCCGCCAGGGCTGCTCCGTGCAGACATGGCACAGCCAGGAACACCCAGCCAGCAAGCACACTTGGGTCTTTCCAACAAGATTGGAGGGGAGGCAACCTGGCATGCTCTGAAGGTCAGAGCAGGAGAGGGATGGGGTGATGCGCCCAGTGGGGGAGGGGGGCTGCAGAGGAAGCAGTGACGTCATGGAAGCAGACGTGACCTTGCTAGACCTAAGAGACTAGGGGAAGACAAAGCAGGCAGGGGTGAACAAGTGCCAGGGGCTAGGGATCCAGCTAATAACCCGAGCTCGGTGGCCCTGTCACTACATCCAGCAAAACCTGTTGCCGCTGCTTGCTGGCTGCAAGCCCCACTGCCTGCCCTACAGAGCACAGTTCTGTTTTTGAAGCTCAAGTTTGGGACATGTCTTATCTCCACAGCCCACAAGATGGACCAGTGTCTGTGCCAAGCAGCCTTGGCAGCAGGGGGCTCCTAGGTTCTCAGAGAGGAAAGCCAGGGCTAGCCTAAGGGGATGTAGGGGAGATGCTTCCAACTTCATAAAGCTCATAGCATTTAGACCTTTGGTGGCCCAGGTGCACCTGACCAGCACTGTCAGATCGTCATAGAGCATATGGACTGGACGCCGTAAAAATAGGACAAAGGGCACATTGGGAGACCACTCAGTGGTCACAAGGTCCACACAAGGAGACAGCAAGGTCAGTGATTACAAAGAACCCCATGGCCTTTTTCGGGCGGGGGGGTACCAGAGATCCAACTGAGGCCCTTGCACTTGCCAGACAGGCGCTTATGCCACCAGGTTATCTCCTCACCCCCACCCCCATGGCCATTTTTGATGGTGCACTGCCGGCCTGGAGCCCATGAATGCCACATACAGATAATACACGAGACCCAAGACACTGAGGCAATTCTCAGATGTCTGCATCATGCCATTTCATATGCAGTCTCCTGACACCATCATCAAGCTGATTGTTTGCAACCCATTTTGGAACAACGTTCTGCCAGGCTCTGCTCAGGAGCTCTGAGAAGACGCAGGACGGTGCTCTCTGAGCACTGGGTAGCTCCCATCCCAGCGTCTACCCAGACGCTCCAGCAGGTAGGGCAGAGTCCTGCCTGGCAGTGGGGAGCTGCCGCTTCCTGGCATCCACACAGACATAGAAAAAGAAATTATTCAACCCCAAAGGCATTTTTTGATGCCTAGCATGCACAATCCAAGTTTCCTGGGATGTGTGCTGAGCGGCCTTGTAACCAAAAGCCTCCGTACCAGCTCACAATGAATTTCTGCTTTGGATGAAGCCCAGTGGAATGGAACCAGCCAGCCTGTTGCCAGCCATCTAGAGAAGTCCTTAGTTTGCTGTTTGGTCTCCCCTGACAACGGCCAAGCCTCACTGCAGAATTCCAGCCAGACCCAGAGTGCAGCCATAGGCTGCAGAGGGGCTGGGAACACAGAAGCCTGGCTGGCGCCGCTGCCTTACCTGCTTGGCCATCCTTGGGCTTACACTGCACCTCCTCCACACACTCAGCTGGAAACCACCCGATGTGGCCGCGGGCGCTGCCTTCCCAGAAGCCCCCTTCGCCGATGCTCAGAACTAGAGGCAATGGAAAGGGAAAGGTATTACTTGGAGGCAACAGAGGGAGCCAGGATAATGGGGGCTGGGCATACAGATCAAGGGCTAGCAAGCTTGCAGCACCAGCACATCTGTAGCACATGCCTCCTGTGAATGAGGGGACCTGGCCAATCACCCTCAGACTCTTGCCCATCGCATCCTCCTAGTAGGTGACAGGAGGTGAAGAAGCCCTGGACATCTATCGCCTCTCCTCTCATGTGTCATAAGAGCTCAAGTGCATTCCATGTGGTCTCATCTCTTGGTGTTCCACTGAGGCAGGAGATAGGGATGGGTGTCCTTGCCATCATGACTTCAGATGTGGAAGCAGGCAGCCGCTGTCTCCAAAGGAAAAGGGACCATGTTGGCTCTCCTCACCCAGGTAGCAAAGGGCAGGAGAGTGGGAGAGTGGGAGGAGATTGACTGCCTGGCTCTGGGGGGCTTCTCAAAGCAAAGAAAGAGAGACCCCCAGTGGGAGGCAATGGGTCTGTTGATGATTATGAGCCAGCATCCTGCAAAAGATGTGAAAAGGCAGATGGACAGACCACATGCCCAGTGCCACCAACTCTTGGAGTTCAGGGCCTTTGACACAGGGACTCGCTCATGAGGAACCTGCTCATCACAGTCTTGCTGGGAAAGCTGCATTTTTCTGGCTTTCTGAGAGAAGGGAAGGTGGCCACATGGTGCCTTGTCCTCAAGAGCCAGTGTGCATGCATAGCTGAACAGAGCCGGTTGACCTGGCCTGCAGGGTGGGGACATCTCAGTCGAGCTCAGAATTTCCCTGCTTGGGCCAGGAGCTGGGTGCCTTGCAGGCGCTCAGTATACATAGGCTAGAAGAGTAAAGGCTGTTATGTTTGGTAATTCAGCTACTGAACGTGAGTGAGGAACCCAGATATCGCAGGCTGGAGAGAGGTTCCACCAGGGTTGCTCTTCTCCTATGGCCCCATTTTGATAAATGTTTTAGTTGTAACAACAAAACTCAGGGTGGTCCAGTGGAGAAAGAGAATCATTATATTTTAGAACACTGGTGCTAGGCTAGGGTTGCCCCTGGTGCTCTCCCTCCCTCCGAATATGGCCCATGCAATGGGAGATCAAAATAATCTCTACACACTTTAATCTTCTTTTCCATTACTCTGCATGTGAAGGACCCAGGACTGCACAAAGGGGGTCATGGCACCAGAAGTGCTCTCTGCTATCCTTTATCTGAACCTCAAAAGCCAGATAAAGATCCATCTGGCCCATGGTTTTTGGAAGGTCAACAGAGTAGAAAACATCGGCTTTATAATTCTTGCCTAATACTCTGAAGAAATGACCTAAATGAAACAGACAAGCTGCACCCCGGATGACTGGCACCATCATAACCGCTGGAAGCAATTTCCTGCAAAAATCAATGCTGGGCCCTTAGATTCCATGCAGCCAGCTGATGGATGCCCCACATAATCTCCCAGAGGAGGTCTGAGTTTGATAAAGTCACGTCAGGGCACAGCCCTGGGCCGCATGGGGAGACAAGGGACCTACAGGGTCCTTTGTTGTGTCAAAGGCACAAAAGGAAAAGGGAATTGCTTAGGTGGAGCCTGTTGTCTTGCTCAACGGGAGGACCTGATGTTGGACCTTTCAGATGTGGGGTCTCCCCGCTATCCCCCCAGTGTCCTCTTGTGACCAGCAAAGCCAGGAGCCATGAGAGAGATACAGAGGGCTGATGGCACAAATGTGGGTAGCACCAATGACCCACGTGGCTTCCTGTACCAATAAGATTATTAAAAGTGGTTTAGTCCAGTGAGGGCTTAGCTACTCAACAATGATGTTTTAAACACTATGTGAGGACCCATGTCAGCGCTGAGGAGGGAGCTATGACAAGGTATTCGCCTGGTCACCAGTTGTGTCTGCAAAGGTAGCAGCACCCTTGGGTCACCATTGTGTATGTTAAACTTCATTCATGCAATTCAGGGCATTCTGCTTATAGATCCGAAGACCCTGTTTAACTACACCATTGGAAACAGCTCCCAAACTCAAACATAATGTGAAAAGCAACAAGATAGAGATGCTGGAAGTTGAAGAGAAAAAGCCAGACCTCGCGGGGGATATGTGCTTGCCTGGAACGGTGAGGTGCAAATACACAAGAGAGTCTCTCTTTGGTTTTCAGCCTGGGCTAAGTACAGCCCATGCGGCAGGGTTACCAGTGGAGAAGCCCTGCATGGGGACAGACAGGGAAGTGGAGCCAGGAAAACAGGGACTCTGAGGAGGGTGGGGCAAGTTTCTGCCCAGAGAAGAGTCAGAGGGGAGTTGGTAAACTCAGACTCCCCACACCTCGGGCTGAACCCAAAAATACACACATAGGGCAAACTCAAAGCAGCTAGCTTCAGCTTTGCGATCCAAGCTTGCACAGAGCTGTCACCCAAGCAAACTTCCAAAGGTCAAGGAAGAAATCATGACCAAAGTCCTCCAGAAGGCAGACTCTCCACTGCTTAGCATGCTGAAAGTCCCGGATACAGCTGAAAATCACTCGGGACACATGGAACAGGAGTGAAAGATGCTCTCAAGAGCTAAGAGAATCACAGGAACCTGACGTTGGACCCTCACACAGGGTTTAATGTGGCCATGATGCCAAGCTACAATGTTGTGAACCAACACAGGTTTTCGGTGAACAAAACTATCCCAATGGAGAATGGGAATCTTGGCAAAGCAAAAGCGGCAATGGAAGTATACACACAGAAGGCCCATGACCGAAATGATTTCTGAAATGATAAAATTAACAAGTTGTACTTGGAAGAAAGTTGAACTGAACTCCAAGAACTTCTTAGATACCATCAAATGGAATGTCAGGGGCTAAGAGAGAGGATGGGGCTCTGTGATCACTGGAACCTTGCCATAGCCCAGATGTGGTCAGGCCAGTGAGTACACGGTACAAAGAGGGGAACCGATTGCTTGCTGTGGCCCATCAGCAACTGGATGGGCAAGGCAGGACTGAGAGCTGGCTAGCAAACTCTAAGGAACATGCTTACTACTCTGTGCCACACAGCTCCTGCAGGCCCATGCAGGGCAGGGCCTGGGCATGCTGGGTAAATATGGTGTCCCTTCCTTGCTCCACTCAGTGAGCTGCAAACACCTGCACGTGGCCTCTACAGTCCACCTCCTCCTCTCTTCCCTGGATGGCCTTCAGCTGCAGGACTCTGATAATGCCACCATCAACTTCTCTCTAGCCTGGACCTACCCTTACTGCAAGTGCCTTGTGCATTTGATTTCTCTGTGCAGTCGCCATTATGGCTCCTTTGTCTAACAAAGCCCAACTCCTTGGCTTGCAGTTCATGGTAGACATCAAAGTGCTTGTTAACCATCATTCCCGGGATTGTGCCTTATGAGTCTCCTTCCACATGGCGAATTTCCTTCCTCTGAACACTGCAGTCCTCTAGACTTTGGCCCATGCTGGACCACAGGCCTAGAATCCCGAACTTGACCAACAGCTGGGCCTGCTCTGATCCACTTCCTCACGTGTCTCTCTCAGAAGTCTCATGATGGGAAAGGAGCTCTGCTTACTGATGCCCAGGGGTGGGCAGTCTCCATGCTAAGTCTCGCCCAGATGTGTGTGTGTGCCACCTTCTGCCCTGGCTCAGCCTGGGCACCACAGCTCCTTTGCTCCACAGTGAATGCACAGGGCTACAGGATATGGCCCTGTTTCCATTCCTGCCCTTCCACAGGGCCCTACAGGAGCCCTATCCTGGGTGTTGCCACTCAGAAGATCCACCGAGGGGCCCAATGGAGGCCAAGTGGCCTAAGGCTGCCCCGCTCCAGAAACAGAGGCCAACAGGTAGACACTGACCTTTGACCCTGTCACCACGGTGAAGGGGGATCTCGCCATCGACTTGGGGTTGGTATGGCTTGACGACAACGAAGAGTCTCCCAGGCACTGCGCTGTAGAGTTTCCGCTTGGGCCCCGGGTACTCAAAGGCTGAGAGGGAGCCCTTGTTGGCACCAGAAGCAAGGGGTGGCCTGGATCAATGAGAGGGAAAGGGAGAGAGATGGTCAGGGTCACATGTCACTCACCGTGGTCAGTACAGCCCACAAAATCCATGCCACAAACTGTCACTCTGTACCTGTGAGGTCAAACAGTCATGACAACAGGGACAGGCTGGGGGCAATGCTTGTGGCAAAAAGGTGCAGCAGATCCAACCAAAGAAGGCATATCTTGGTACATCCCCCAAGAAGTAAAATTAGGGCCTCAAAGAGATATGTGCACGCCATGTTTGTGACAGTTTTACTCAACGACCAAAAGGCGGAGGTCATCCTGTGTCCATGAACTGATGGTTCACTCATACTGTGGGACAGAATTCAGCCACAGAAAACAAGCACATTCTGATACCTGTGATGGACAGCCTGGGTAGACCTGGAGGACGTGGGGCTCAGTGAGCTAAGCCAGTCACGGCAGAGCAAATCTTGCATGGTTCTGGTCACATGAGGCACCTAGAGTGTGGTCAGGTCCGTAGAGAAGGAAGTAGGGTGGGGTTCCGGGGGGAGGGAAGCAGGCTGGGCAGTCAGACGGAGCTTTGGTTCAGGACGATGGGAAGGTTTTGCAAGTGAACAGTGCTGACGACCACACAATGGTGTGAATGTGCTTAATGCCCCTGGCCTACGCACGTAAGCATGGCCAAAATAGTGATCTTATAGTGTGTGTATCTGACCACAATTTAGGAAGAAAAGCCTGAGATGGAGGCAGAAAGGAAGGGAAGCCCTGGGTGTCACATTCCATCCATGGACTGCCAATGTCAGTCACAGATGGGAGCCTGGAGGCTTCCCTGGGCTCCGGGACATTAGGGGAGATGGGAGGCTGCCCACAGCTGGCATGCTTCCCAGGGATACCCCCTGCCCAGGGTGTTCTCCGACTGAATCATGGCCACCAACGCAGTGATCTTAGAATCTCTGTGACATAAGCTTTGTCACCATCAAGCAGCCCTGGGTCAAGGTGGAGCCACGGGCAGGTGTAGCCTCCAGGTGATCTCCTCACTTGACTCTCCTCACCCAGCCAGCTGCGCTCGACCACAGGACTTGGTGGATGTCATTTGTCCCCAGGTGCCCAGTGCTGTTAGGGCAGTGACTTCTACCAGAGTAGAGATGCCAGATGTAGCTTGTCTAAAGGTGTAGCTCAGCAGGCCAGCGACATGTGGAGAGGACCATGTGGGCCACCTGCCTGTGAGGACAGAGACCTGGGAAACGTAAGCAGGGCCCTCCTGTTCCTCTATGAAGGGGTAAGTGAGTTTACCCACCACATCACTGGCCTGCTGAGCTCTGTGTGTGTGTGTGTGTGTGTGTGTGTGTGTGTGCATGTGCGCATGCATGTGCAAACCTGGTTTACTCATTCAACCTGCCTCAACTTAGTGTGAGCCAGGCCAGGTGTAGCCCAGGACCCAGAGCTGAAGAGCTGAAGTGTGGGGAGAGAGAAGGATTTCCCCACCAGGCACTGCACTATCTTTGTGGGCTCTCCTCTAACTCTGCTGCCCCCTTCTTCTCCTCCATAAATCAGGCAGTTTGATCACCCTGAATACACCTGCCCACATCTACCTGGATCCATGTAGGTGACAAGTCAGTGGCCAGAAGCAGGGGCTCTGCAGGTACTTAACTGCCATTCACTCCTTGGCTGATCTTCCCTCAGCTGTGTGATCTTGAGCGAATTGCTTTACCTCTCTGAGCCTTTATTTTCTCATTAGTGAAATGTATGCCAGTGAGGTGGTACCCAGTGCAGGGGGCTACTGGGAGAATGGACTAAAAGCTTAGCTCCCAGCTGGCTCTGTCCCCACTGATGATTATGGACTATGCTTGACCAGCAGTCTGGCTAAAATGGGTGGTCGGGACACATTATCTTAAAGCCCCTCTCCTGGCCAGCTGGGGTGCAGCACAGAGACTCAGAAATGCCTGAAGGATTCAACCCCTCTGCTCCTAATGACAACACACGTGGATCTTGCTGCTAGCCAGGCTGCGTGGCTTCTCGGAGAAGTGGTGCAGCTGCAACAAATACCGAGGGTAGAAGAGATGAGCAGGTTGGCCAAGCCCCATGGTCACTGCCCAAGCACCAGGACAGGGGTTGACTTGGGCAGGAATAGGTTGAGATGTGGAAGCTTCTCCCACTGGGAAGAGGATGGGCTGCAGTCCAGGAAAAAGACAGACACTGCATCTGGTGGCTGGGACAGGGCACGGGATGTGTCATAGAGCTGGGGTCACAGGAAGGACTCCCAAGTGCTATATGGGTAAAGCATTAGCTGTTCAGCCTAGACTTTCAGAATCTGGTGGGAAAGCCCTTTATTGGAGGACCTCTACTCAAAGGGGCTGCTGCCAAGGACCTCCCTGCATGTCTACAACAACAGCCTACATGAGAGACAGTCTGTCCATCCTGAATAGTCCATTATCAGGAAGACCAGAAAGCTACTTCTCAACTCCCCTCCATCACCCACCCACCTATATATCTATTTGTTTACCCATCCACTTAGCCACGCATCCACCCAATCACCATCCATTCACCTACGCATGCACCTGTGCATGGATACACACACCTGCTCATCATCCACGCACCAATCCACCCATCACCTATTCACCTTTGTATCTACCTACCCACTCATTTACCTATCTATCACTGATCTATCCACCCACCCCCCATCTCCATCGATTTACCCTGACATCCACCAAACACATTCATCCATCCATCAATCCGTATACCCATCTATCTATTCACCCACCCAACATCCGTGTACCTGTATATTCATGCATGTGTGTACATCTCTAGTTCCTGCCCATCATCCATTTACTTGCAGATTTTTTTTTTTTTTTGTATTTTTAAGGAAGGGTGTTCAGGGTCTCACTACTAGATCAGACTCATAGTGATCCACCTGTTTACAGCCTCCCAAGAGCTGGGATTATAGGTACATGCCACCATGTCCGGTCTCAGTCACCATCTCAGAGTGCCCTGGGGGGTGGGGCTGGCAGGGCAGGCCTGAAGATTGAACCCCTGACCTCTTGAGCCTGCTTGCAAGCACTTTAATCTGCTGAGTTATTTGGCTGGCCCTCACAGATCTATCCATCATACAGCCTTGCATCAACCATCCACTTTCCATTCCTCTGTCCAGCCAACCACTCGTCCACCATCCACCCTCCTACACATCTGCACACATCCGTCCATGATTCTTATGACCCACCATCTCCCCGCCAACCATTCTCCCACACATCTCTCCATCCATCATCCATTCATCCATCTACTTAGCCAGCATTAATCATCTATCCACCCATCCATCTCTTCACTCATCCACCCAAATTCCAGAAGGAACCTGCTTAAAGTCTGGCTGACTGCTTACTATCGGATGTTGGACAAATCAAATTAACCTCCTAAAGCTTCAACTTCCCAATGTGCTAACAGACCATGAGAAGTGACCACGAGGACAAGTCCATATGAATCTGCTCTCATAGGTGTCATGCAAATATCAGCAGGTCTACCCTTGTCCTGCTGCAGCTGGACAAAGGGTCCCAACATGCTCAGGTCACCTAGTAGCAGACTGCAGAGCCAGACAGAAGTCAGTACGAACACAGCCCTAATCCTGGAGCTGCTGCTTAACCTCTTTGCAGGCAGCTGCCTGACCCATCAATCTGAGGGCTGGGGAAGCCTTTAAGAACAGGAGGGACATAGTCCTCACAGACCGGTGCATGTACAGCTGTGATAGGTGGTCTCACATTAACACCTAAGCATCTTGTTATTCACTATTCATGAGAACCCCACAGAGCTCCACAAGGCAGTGGAGTAGGAGAGCTTGCCCCACTTCACAGGTGAGGGAAAGGAGGCTCCATGCGGAGTGCTCTATGCGTGGAAGTCAGAGCTATCCTAACTTCCGGCTCCAGATCCTGAGGGAACAGCGGGCCAAGACCCCACCTACGGATGCTGGCGTTCTGCCTCTGGATGCTGTTTTATGCACCGGCCCCTCTTACCTGGCTCTGCATGAGGAGTAGCTGCCCTCCAGAGAGGAGGACCCAGGAGGCCAGACCAGGGCTTGCTCTACCACTGAAATGCACAGCGAGATGGGCCTGAAGCTCTCCTGCTGAAACTCTCCATGCTTTCCTCACATTCTGGCCAAAAACAGGCAGATGGAATCCAACTGACTTGTTTTAGTCTAAGGGCCAAGTCACTGTGTTCTCAATATCAGCAAATTGGCATCCTACACTATAGGGTGACTGGGATGAATGGATTGGGCCACTTCCCAGATATCCTGGGTGAACAGGGATCTGCCCACACACTGATCTTTCTTCATTCATTCATTCATTCATTCATTCAAGTATTTCATGGTTGGGCTGTGAGCCCTTTACCAGGGGCCATGCATATTCATACACGGGAGACAGATGCAGGCCCCAAGGAGCTTATGGCCAACTGGGAGAGTATCAAGGCATTTTGGGTGTGAAGATTAGCCAAAGGAATAGGGCATGAACCAAGAGCGAGTCTGAGCCCACACAGGCTTCCTGTTCAGGGCTAAAGGCATAGTTGAGAGCTGATAGTCAGGGGAGGACCCACGCCATAGGAAAGGCCTCACAGCAACACCACCCTGACCAACAGGGTGGGACTGAAGCAGCCCATGGTGGGGTATGGAAGCCTGGTAGAGGCCCTTGTGACTGTGCCACAGCAGCTAGGGGCAGAGATGATGCACAGAGTCACAGATCATAAGAGGCAGAATCAGCCGGCCTAGACCCCGCCAAAACATTATCAATCACCCATCTCCTAGCTCAGCAGAGGGGCATGGAGGAGTCTGACAGGGTGACGCTGGCTCTGGCACAGAGGGGCTCATGTCCTGAACTCTGGACAGTCAATGCTAAGCATCACTGGCTATGCTGGCATGTGACGTCTCAGGCCCCATGCCAGCCCCTGTTCTGCCCATACCATGGCCATCCTCAGGACTGTGAATGAGAAACATCAAAGCAGGCAGCATCCTGCCTTACTGCAAGGGCCCTGGTGGGCAGCGGAGCTC